TGTGTTTTTTCCGAATATGTTCATATAAGTTATATGAATACCTTGTTGTTGTTGGGCATAATGAGCACTTATAATTGACGTTGTTGTCCTTCTCCTTATTATTATTATTATTAATATTATTATTGTTGTTGTTATCTACAAGCTGCTTGATGAGACCTAGTGGAAATTGTTTCGTTGAACTTGTCGAGGAACTGGAAGCAGCCAATTGAGATGGTGGTGATGGTATTACCTCCACCTCTGCTGGTATTACCTCCACCGCTGCTGGTATTACCACTGGAGTGTTCTGTTTGGTCATTGCCATCTCATTGATTATCTGAGCAATGGTGTCTTCATCGTTGTCATAGCCGTCAACGTCGTCGTCATCTAACTCGTCAGTTGCTGCTGTTGTGTTAACAATGTGTTGACAACTCTGAGACAGGTCAATCACCCTTTCATAAGGACTGTGTTGACCATGTTGTTGCAAGGTTGTACCTGTGGCTGTTATTGATCGAGGTTGGACTCTTGGAGTCGCAATGCGAATAGTTTGAGTCGACACACCTATTGATGTTTGTGATGAAGATGAAGATGAAGATGAAGATGAAGATGATTGAGATGATGACGATTGTGATGATGACGATTGTGATGATAATGATTGAGATGATGATGATTGAGATGATGACGATTGTGATTGTGTTGTTCTAGCTGGAAGTGTTCGAGATGGTACAGGTGCTGGAACAGTTGCTGGTGTTGCTCCTGATCTATTCGAGTCAAGGTCTTGATATTGATTAGAGACTGGCCTGCCTCTCTTTTTTCCTTTGCCATAATTGAAGACAAACAACTGGTTGTTTGACATCTTAGTATTTGTATGTTGTATAATTGTTTGATTTAACAATGACAATGTTTGAATAATAAATAAATTTTTATTTGGTGTGGTGTTGATCTATAATTATAAAAGATAGATATTAGTCCTTGGCATGACGGTAAACTGCAGCACTTACTTTGAAAGTCAAGCTTCCCTGACCCGAACTAGACCTCAAGTTGGAGTCCAAATTCGAAAGTGCGAAATCACAAGACAACACCAACTATCACTCCCCACAAAAATGCCCTAGGGTCGAAGTGAAAACATATCGAAAATGCAAATGCAATAAATCGAGAAGCCAGGAGTGTATATGCTCCTGTGTGAAATATAAAAAAAAAAAAAAAAAAAAAATAAAAGATAGATATTATTGTTACTCTTGCACAGCAGAATGCTATTACTACTATATTAAGCATCAATTGGCAAGTTATCAATCTTTCTTGTGACTAACAGGTGAAAATATTAGTCATTTCATTGCTGTCCTTCACGGATATAAACAGACAAGTTCTCACCTCCCATTGGTCAACCACACGTGGGGGTCCTTCCTTTTACGTCATCCCAGGTACACAATAAGGTGAAGAAGCCTTGGAGGGGATATCCAGATTTACAACAACAGATGAAGGTCGATCTATCAACTCCTGACGTCATTCAACACCTCAACATAATACATCTTGTTACTCCTCTTATCAACGCGAATCGATCAAGATATCAATCATCATCATTGAACAACATCACACCAGACATCATGATTGCCTTTCGAATGCGTCTCGACACTACGATGACGCACCAACAATGTTCAACACATACGTTTGATACACCAACAGATTCAGTACATCTACAGGAATCGATCCATATATAATATGTGACTGTTGAACCTATCACAACAAATTAATCGTGGAGGTGTCCACGCATACAACTCCTGCGTGAGATTCATCGACTTAGAGTCGAATTCATTTTTGTGTGGCAGATTATTTATCAACTCGTGAGGACATGTTTGGTTGTTGATATGAGAGGATGAATTATTGTTGCATTATTTTGAATTAAAATGTATGAGAAGGATGCAAGCAAGTCATTCTTCAAAGCGAACATATCATACAAACACATAACAGCAACACAGATTCATCGCCTCGAACACCTCATTGATTGATCACTGGCTTGGAGCAAAACACTCAATCGTCGCGGACCCCACATTGGAAGCCATCATGGACACCACCACGCAAAACATCAATAAAATGTTGAATAAAGCACTCCTTCAAGTGGTGGTGATCCTCCATTTGTGCACTTTTGAGACCCCTGTTGAGTGAGAGATGCACCAGAGGCCCCTCATTGGACCTCATGGACACCACCACGATAAAATTGTTGTGTTCTTACAAAGTACAGCTTGCAGAGATATCATTTCCCAATACACGCCAAGCGTCGCACTCCAACTAGCCAGCTACATCTCGATAACACCTACAATTGACATACCAACAGACTCAACACATCAAGGTGAATCGATAGATATATTGTACATCACATCTGAAGCTATTCTTTAGCAACACATTCAACAACAGCCAGGATACGCTCACATTTTGGCATCAACTACGATCGTCGCACTCCACTGATCACCAACATCGTCCAACAAACACCTATGACTCATCATCAGACTCGACCCATCAAGAAGAAGCTATACATACCATATTCTTTGTCGTTGGAGTAATCCACATCAACTTTGGCTCATCAACATCCAACTACACAGGTAACAACCCAAATCTTGGACCGATCGTCGCACCTCTACCTCTAACAAAATCTAATACCAATCAAGATTATAGTATAGTAATACTCGACACATCAAGATGAAACGATCAATATCCATCACTGTTGAAGTGATTCATAGGAATTACAGTCTTGGAACGTTGGAACGACTCTTTGTGAAGATCGAGTCGACAGCAAGTCAGATCAATCTCAGTTCGCTCAGGTTCTTCAACTCCATCCGACCATTATAAACAAAGACATGTTTGATTACATCATCAATAACTGTTGGAATAACATCAGCATTCAATTTGAATAACAAATTGAGTATTTGGAAAAGAGTTATATATTCTAGAATGTCTCATGGTATTAGATTGTCAGGAGAGGATAAAAGCAATTAAAATGCATGATAAAGGGATGACCAAGCTGATATATGTCGTAAGCTCAAATGCAACGGATCATCCATAAGAAATGTTGGGCACTCAAGAATCCAATCCAGGGTCGGACACAGAAACAAGGTGGTGGATTCAAGGTATCTTTGTGGGAATTCTTTACATACTTTGGAGCTGGATACATTGTCAGGTTTGGAAGCAGAGACCTATGTTGAAATCATGGTGAGAGATTTAGATCAGTCTGTCAACGACTACGAAAGACTACATGGAAAGAAGTTGATCGTTGCCCAGGATAACTCAACAGTCCACCATGCAGGTTGACAATGTCTCATTGTTTATTGGCGAGTGATGAGCAGGGAGTCGTCTCCCTTGGCCCATTAAAGTCAATTCTCCTTCAGCCTTATCCCTATGATCTCCCTCATGTTTGATGTTCCATCGTTTATACTTTTGACTACCTCCAAATGATGTCTTTTCTCGGATGCAACAAGTTGCTTGAATTCGAACATACTGCCTCCAACACCAAAGTAGAATGACTTGGCTGCCATCAGACTAATATTGCGACATATTAGTAATGGTCCATAATTTGAGAGTGTTTAGAGATACGTACCATATTCCACCACTGTCGAGATGGTCATTGATTAAGTCTATTTGTTTCCTAAAGGACTGTATGCTATAAAGGGTGTCCGAAGCCAAGATGATATCAAACTTCTCATCCTTAAGTAGTTGCTGTGATTGGGGATACAGAAGTTAGTTTGTTTAAAGTTTCAATATCAATCTTTAAAGGGACCTACATTAACATGTTTCCAATCGCCAGAGATGAATCTTGGTTGGTGAAGAGTTTGAATGGCAGCATTGGAATTGACAATCACGTTTGGGATTGTCAATGTCTTGATAACTTCGTGGTTCTAAAAGATAACAATAGATATTAATCAACATGTTCAACTACCTGTCCTACTCCTACATACATAATCTTGAAAGGTGGAGTGTGCACCTCTTTGTAAACAATATATCAAAGGCAATGCATGACCACAACCAATCTCCAGTATTCTCTTATCTCTCAACTGAATATTTGTCTCTACCATGTAGTTGATTAGATCAATCGAGCACTCCCAAAGTTTGAATCCACCCTCGTATACTCCAGGTATCAGATCTGATTTGTTTGAACTAATGAGATCACATAAGGAATTCTCTTGTTCTGAAATGCTCATTGGCTTTAACAACTTTTTAAGCCTAACATCTCCACCAAAGCTAATTACTTCCACCTGAGTACTTGATGGTACACTGATATCTTTTGTTTCTATTAGACAGGCTTCTCGCTCTTCTATTGTGATGTCTTCAACAACAATTTGTTCAAAAGTTGTTGTTGTTGTTGTTGTTGTTGATATCTCTTCTGATGAGTCCTAAAGGGAGAGGAATATGGTCAGTATTCTCTCCATAAATATATTTGAAGCACTGTTTGTTGGCCTACATCAATCTTAAAGTTGAACTTGAATGACATTCGCAGCTGTGTGTATTTAATGATAAATATGAGTCATGTGATTAATGATCAAATCAGAAACGAGTGGTGTTTTGTACTCAACCATATTTATTAATGTTTGACAGCAGGCAATATGTTTCTTAAGTACGCTGCATTCAGTCCTGGTGTTGGTCTCGTCTTGACCTGGACAATCTCATTGTCAGACCATATGCACACCCTACCATCGATATCACCAGAGTAGATCTTTTGTTGGTCACTGCGTGTGTGAATGTATGTCAGCAGTCAGTAAGTGATTCTATTTCTATTTGTTTATGAATGACTTACTTTGTCAAAAAGAGAGCAGTGATTGCATTGGTATGAGCTGATTGGTTGTAAAACGTCGATCGTAGTAGAAGTACATTCTTGAATGCCAGCGGTGACAATGGATCATTGTCAATGGAGGGAAGAAGTCTGCTCTCCAATCCCCACACCTTGATCTTTCCATCTCGGTGTCCAGTGAGTAGCACATTCTCGCCCAACCATTCGGGTCCCTTTGACCAGAGACATGATGTGATTTGGTCATAGATTATCTGAGATGTCTTGTACGAGAGCACCAATTCTCCATTGACATTGTAGACATTGATGGTGGTACCTGAGCAGGTGACAATATCACCAGTGGTGTCGTGTACGCCAATGCACGAGATTGGACTATCGTGGCCAGTGAGTGTCCTAGAGTATCGCAGTCTATTGAGATCCCAAATGATACAGGTTTGGTCCTCTGATCCACTGACGATTAGAGAGAATGGTCTCGATGCTGCCAGTGCAGTGATAGCGCCTGTGTGTCCAACCAGTCGTTTGCTCAGCGAGTATCGCTTCAAGTTGTATACACACACCAAGCCATCGACACCTCCACTGACGGCAATGTATCCATCATCGGTTGCGGTCAGACAAGTGAGTGGACCATCGTGGTGATCCTCGAGCGCCTTTGTCTTATCTCCAGTGTTGTAACGAATACTACCGTCGGGTAGTCCCCAAGTGATGTATCTTGTAAAGGTTGGGGCGAGCTGGTGTCTAAAGAAGCCAGTGCAGGAGGCACGCTCGTTCACCAAGCGGATTTGTCCTACAGGCTCACCAATGTCCTTGATGAAATTACCAACAAGTGACTTGGCGTAGAATGGGAATGAACTGAGCACAGGATTTCGTCTTGGATGTGGTTTGTCAAACAGCTGCTTGGGGGTCTGACCAAAGTTGTTGATCTGTGCAATGGTGGCTGCCTTCTCGATAGGATCGGTGATGGCATCAATGTTGACGGCGCCTTCGTATGTAAGGTAGTAGTACACGTTGAGGGAGTCTTCTGCAGGCTTGCCTTGCTGTTTGTAGCCAAAGATCAAGTCTATCCATTCGTGTAGATGCTCAGACACATAGTCTGACTCGAGTGCCTTTCGATGCAACTTGATAAACTCTTGCACCGATCCTTTTGCCCACGGGGGCATGACCACATCGTTGATGATCTCGCCACCTTGCTTTGTGCCAAAGTTGAATTTGTTTGAGTTCTGAAGGAACTCGGGCAGGTAGTAGAACTCTGGGATAAGCTCCATGATTGAGCCAGTGGAGCCACACGAAGAAGAGGTCCATGCCTCGGAGATTGAACTGAACAGACGGTCGGCCTGGTCCCAACGGCCGCTCTGCAGTTTGAGAAAGTGTTGTGTGAACGGTTCCAAACGGATGAGGTAGTACAAGACGATGGCTGCCGAGGAGTAGTGAGTGCCATAGTGGAACTTGGGCACGTTGTGGCCGTGCTCATTGGGTTCTTGGTCGTCCCAGTTCTCGAAACGCTCGCGGAACTTCTCGGCACGCGTTTCGTTTAGTGCGCCCATTGGCTTGGAGAGGTCACGATATACCTTTGGGTCGTCCAAGTCGAGATAATCACTCTCATAGTCGCGCAACACCCAAGGGAACACAGGGTACTGGGTCAAGTCATTGTAGCTGCGACCAGCTAGTGTGTTCAAATGCATGAGATACTGGAAGTTGGAGATTTGGCCCTGTTGCCACTTCATGGTCAGAGGTGATTTCCTCCACATCGATGTCAGACGTTCACGCATGCCAAGATTCTCTCGAGAATCATCGTCAATGGTCTGAGAGCCACTGATGCCGCTGACGTCACCAATTGTGTTGTTCGATACGTTTGTGATGATTTTGTAGTGCACATCATCACGAGTCAACTCGTCCTTGAGAACAAAGAGAGTGTTTCTGCCATCGGTTGAGAACAGCTCCATTGCCACAGGACGCAAGAGGTATCGACGCTTGAGCACCTCTCTGACCTCTTCGTAACCCCACTTGATGCTGTTGTGGGAGATTATCTTCTTGGGTGGTAGTACGGCGCCTTCGACCAACCAGTCCATGTTGATCTTTTCCTCAACTTCTGTGACCTCACCAGTCTGCTCGTCCTTGGTGTAGCCATCAAAGATGTACATGTTGGCGGGACAAAAGAGGAGTATGCCCTCGATCTTATCCATACCATCCACACTGCCACAATTGTACATGACTGACAGTAGCTTGGGATTGCGACGAAGCTCGTCTCTGAGGAAGTTCTGGTCGTAGGGATCGAGTTGTCTAGTGTAAGCAAGGTTCTCTTCCTCTGTGTTTGTGGTCATTGAGTTCTCCTCATCAAGTGCTCCAAGTGACTCGTCAACCTCGTTGTTGATACTCGTCAATGCAGGTGTGGTTGATGTTGGAGTGTCGTTGTTGTTGTTGTTGTTATTGGTGTCTGTGTCGGTAGTATTTGTGACATCACTACGCTCAGTCGTCTCTGAAAGGTTGAAGAGCTTGGATTCGTACTCGGATTGCTCCTCTGACTCCAAATCAGAGCTGGTTGATGATGGTGGAGGAGGTATCTCCTCTTCAGATGTACCAAGTGGTGTATCTGGCGGAGTGATATCCACTGAAGAGCTTAGAGGGGAGGATGGCTCTGATGTCTTGGAGGACGATGAAACCCCACTTGAAGACAACATGCTGTTGTTGACTGAACTACTTCGTTTGGCTTTGACCGTGACCTGTTGTTGTTGTTGTTGTTGCTGTTGCTTCTGTTGATGGGAGGACTGAGAACTACCCTCACCACCACCACCACCTGGAACAGAGTTGGGAAGTACAGAACCATCAGGGGCAGTGAACTTCCAGTATGCTGGCTCCAACAGGTCGGCATCAGGTGTACCGGCAATGTCCATGAAGGCCTTGCTGTCCTCACTGCATGGAAGAGGCAGGAGACTGTTGTTGCTCTCATCGAATGTTGGTGGCACGAATGGGTAGTTCTTGTAAAAGTCATAGTTCTTCTCGGTCTTCTTGCGCATACGATATGGACCCTCTGTGGAGTCCAGTTTGAACTTATCGAGTGGTGACGGGTCATTCGGTCCCCACACAGCGCGCTCTCGTGTCACCTGGTCCTTAATCGACTCGAACTGTTTGGTGTTGAACTTTAGCTTGTCCTTCTCTGATTGATTGATCTTCTTGCGTCTCTCGACCTCTGACGAGACAAAGTACTCAATCTTCTTGGTGATGTGTTCCTTCTTCTCGGCCTCATTCGCTGCGATCTTGCGTTGATTCTTCTCGTGACCCAACATTCTCTCCTTACGCAAATATCTGATGCTGTAGAGGTAGTCAGACTCGCCCTTCTTCTCGGCACTGAGTGAATTGAGGTGAGCCTTCTTGCCATTGTCCTCAAACACCAAGTTGACAGACACGATGTTGTCCTGTATGTACTTGTTGAACTCCTTGACACCCTTGCTGGCCAGGAGGTCAAAGCCAGGTCGAAGGTCTATCACCTCGCCTCGTTGTGTGCGCAATGAAAGAGTCCATGAGAGAGTCTCGGCGAATGGTGAACGCAACTGCACCAACAGCTTCCAGAGTTTGATGGCGCCATCCACAATGATCTGAGGCGCCTCTGTTGTCAACTTGAATAGTGGGTAACAGAGTGATGCGATAAAGTCCGAATCGTTGTTGTTGTCACTAAAGACAATGCGTTGATGATTCAAGATGTGATTGATCGTGAAGATAATGTCTGCCTCTTGCTCCTCCGTCATCATATCAGAGCCAAGGTTGTTGCTATTGCTGTTGATCATGTGCAGAGTGATACGATTCAAACTACGATAGATAGGCTGTACATTCTTGAGCGAGGGGCGGTCGGCCTCAAGCTTCTCCAGTAGCTTGACCAGGAAGAGAAGCACACGACGTGTGATACCCTTGAACATGTCGAGATGTGCGCGATCCACCAACATGGAACAGAACTTGACGAGGTTGGAACCAACACCACGCTCACTCTCAAAGAACTCTGACTTGGTGATGTTGTTCTCTATTGTGTAGAGTATGTCAAAGAGAATCCTTGTGTGATAGACGAGGTGGTCGTCGTCGCTGCTCTTGATTGGCGTAGAGTCCAGGACAGTCTCAGTGATGGCTATTGCTTTGTTTGACTTGCGCAGTGCTGACAATACGATCTGACACAAGAACTTCATGATCAGGTCTGCAACTCGGTCCTTCTTCTTGTTGTCCAATTGTGTTACTGGCAGTAGAGTCAAACGGCCCCCAGGGTAGAGTATGGAGACCAGGTACTCGATCATGGATTCGTTGAAGAATTCCTGCTGGAAGCTACCATTCTCGTGGAAGAGATACATAAAGTAGGTGAGTATGGTGTGCTGCAAATTGGCTGCCACCTCGGGTGTGGCTGAAGGCATGAGTGGCTGCACAACACCAATGTCGACCACTTGTGAAGATGCCAACGACGCCGCAGAGATGGGGACGACACTGTGGGTGGGCACCGCACTGGTGCTGAAGGATGTGCTTCGTCGCCTCTTGGTGGACCAAGAAGGTTGCTGACCATCAGTCTCCTCGAGAGCACCTGCAAGATCTAGTGTTATCTCTTCAAACTTGTTGAGGAAGTTTCCAACACGCGCCAGCATACTAGACGCTCCGCTTGACGGTGGTGCTGATGTGTTATTGGCACCTGCAGTGGAGGTGGTTGAGCTGTTGATTGTCTGCGAGAATGAAAGAGGTGAAGCAGACATGGAAGATGATGATGGCGTGGTGGATACAGGAGAAGGGATCTGGTAGCGGGCAGAAAGGTCGTCGATTGTGAGCTCACTTTGGTCTCCAGAGTGATACTGTTGTGGTCTATCATGTATGTACTGGTAGTTGTCTTCGTAGGAGCGTTTGACCAATGATAGTATTAACTGTGCGGCTTCAATGCAGTAGAGCTTCTGTTCACTGGCTCTAAAGATGTTGAGCAACTCGTGGAACTCAAGGTTGGACAAAGGTTGCTCAGTGGTCGATGTTCCTGCTGTCTGTTGTGTTGTTTGACCCTCGATCAAAACGCTTGGTTTGCTTCCCAACAGAAGATGCAACAGAGAGAGATACACCTCTTGATAGCCGTTCATACCCGATAGAATGTCCTCGAGCAGCTTAAAGCCATTCTTCTTGATGAACGATTGGCAATACTCGTGCTTGAGGAGGAAGAACGCAACTGAAACCTTGAGAGCCAGTGACACTGAGAGGGGCGGCAACTTCTCACTGATGAAGAAGAAGCTCCAAAAAGAGGACACCCGACGAAAGATCACACTGGTGTCTTTGGATGTGGTGACTACCTGAAGGAACATCTGGAATACGCGGTTGACCGTCTGATTCACTCTAACATCGAGCGCAGCTCTCTTGCTAGAGTATCTGCGTGAACGTCTGGTCTGGTTGGCGTGGAGACCATATATGAGATAGGCAGAGAGCAGTCTGATGTCATCCACCATCAACTTCTCGTTGAACATGTTGTAGAGAACTGTGATGACGCTCTGCACAATGTCCTCTGATACACTGTCGTCTTGGAGTATGTCAAACAGTTGTTGGATGATGAAAATCTTTCGCAACTGTTCGGCGTTGAAGCTGTGCTGATGATTGTCCACTACCAAGTCGTTGAAACCCTGCAAGATGTATCGCTGATACTCTATCTGAGTGTTCTTCCACACGGAATGGTCGAGCAGGATATACTTGCAAGCATTCCAATTGGCCACTGTACCCTCGAGTCGATTGGTGACACTGGTTGCCCCATTGATACCAACAAGGTCAAAGATGAGGTCTATCACGCTATTGTTAAAGAGATGTTGTTTGCGACGCAGAATCCAAGCCATTATCTCATAACCGTTGATCTGTGCCATCTCATGTGTGTTGGTCGGATGGCATTGGATGACTCCCACCAGAAGTTGCAAGGCATCGTGGAGGGTTTCAAAACTGTTAGCCTTCTCCAAGAGAAGCAGAGGGACTGGCATTCCACCAATCTTTCGAATTCCATCAGCCACTTTGTTCCTACGGAAGGCCTCAACACTGCCAACTAGTTGGCCACGCACCTTGCCCGACAGGTCCGCCTGATTGATGATCTCCACCTTGTACTCTGCGTCTTTGGTGGCAATGTCCCGTGATGATCCAATGACGTATTCAACGTGCGGTGGCAGGTTGGACTTATCACTGCTGGATGATTGAGTGTTGCGAATGATACGTTTGTTGTTGGCACACAATCCAACGATGATCTTGGCCTCGTCGATCTGCATAGACACCTTAGAGAGATTGAGTGGGCCGAGCTGATCGCCATACTCAAGCTCCTTGATTGCTGTGAGGTTCTGGTGATTGATTATCTCGTAGGTCTGGTAGGGTGAGAAACGGCCCTTGAAGTTGGCGCTATAGTTTGGTCCGAGGAAGAAGATAGTATTGATATGCTTGGAGCTCATTGCCTCCTCAATCAAGTAGAATGGTCCAACTCGCCAGATCTGCTCTCCGGGATGACGATTTCCCAATGTTGATCCAATGTCACAGAATAGGTTTCCAGTAGCTTGTGCAGGATAGGGTGCCTTGGCAGCCTTCTCCTTCAGGAAACCATTGACAAACACCTTGAAGTCTGTACCAGATAAAAGACGGCGAGCATGTACAATGCCAATGTGGTACCACTGTCCCTCTTCGAATCGATCACGGAAATCGATCACATACTTGGATGTGTTGAGAATCACAACGCTGAGTAGTCCATTCTTGATACAAAGTGAGAGGTTGGACTTCTTGTCCTCTGAGTAAATCTGGACGAGGTCGATCTGTGGGCCATTCTTCTCGATGTACAGCCAAAACATGATAGTATAGCCATTGGTTGGTGGCCATTGATGCTGGACTGGAAGGTGAATATAACCATGCGTCATTCGGTTCGATGGGTTGAATTCAAAGTATGGTGGTGTCGATGGAGACTTGGCCATAGAGGCGAGAATCTTGAGAAGCACCTCTGGTGAGTGCTCTGGTTTGAGCAACTTGACAAACTGACGTAGCTCAGTGCCCGAAAGACAATTGGCTCCAACAGTCTGGATGAGACGCAGCAGGTGTGGTTGAAGTGGATCGGTGGTACTCATCAGTGACGAAGGGAACTTGGTGAGAATCCAGTCGGGTATTGACAGCTTTGAAAGTGCCTCTTGGTTGAAGCGACCATAGTCTGCCATGTCATTGAGTCGCTTGACAATGTCCAATACGTAGGTAGCGTTGGTAATGTGCGGGATGATGTCAAGAATGACTATGAACGCATCCACATTGCTGATGATCATGCGGTTGCTCTGGATATCACTGCCATTGAGGTTCTCAGTGACCATGTCAAAGATAAAGTCAACGACACGTGGTGCATGCACTGTCTTGAGAACACTGGTCAGGGTAAGACCAGTGGCAAATGTGGAGTATCCGATCTGTTGCTCGAACGAGGTCCTGTTGAGTGCATTTCCACAGAGTGCAGATGTTGTCACACGACATATCGACTCTAGAAGTGCCAGTCTGTCCAGAGAAGCTTCGTCGCTTTGTTCGATGTTGTTGTTGTTATTGTTGTTGGCCGAGTCTACTGGTGTTGCAAAACTAGACTCCATACCAATAAGCACAGAGACAATGGCGACAAAGCCTCCATGCTCTCTGAAAGAGTCACGAGCATACTTTGATATACCAAAGAGTTTACGAATCGAGTTGAACACATCGGTCTTCATCTGGACTGCCCGATTGGTTGGTGTAGTCGTAAGGATGCTAACCAAACCATTGAACTCTCTCTGTGACGTGTCTGGATCGTACTTTATCAACTGTTGTAGGATACGCAATGCCTTGTTCCTGATGAATGTGTACGGTACCAATGAGAGCATCGTTTCGAATAAGTCACTTGAGAATAATGTAATGTTAATATAAAATATAAATAAAGGTAAGAAGATTTGTTTGAGTGATTAACTTCAAGAAAACATACTATTTCCTGGTGATAGAGATATTGTCTGGATGTTCAGCTATCAGTAGATAGGTCGAGTCCAGTAGGATGGCGAATGACTCCTGTTTGTTGGGTTCCATTGTGGTGTCCAGTGCTTGTTGTTGCTGTTGTTGTTGTTGTTGTTGTTGCTGTTGCTGTTGCTGTTGCTGTTGAATCTTGTGTAGATCAAGTGTGTAAAGATCAACGACTTTGATAAGAATGTCGAGTAGTCCTGCCTCCCTAAAGATATGTTTGTAACGAAATTCAAAGTTGACGAGCGTTGTGATGAGTTGATAGATCATCTCCAATGTGAATACTGATGGTTTCTCGTTCAGAAGCAACGAGAATGTGCTGAGCTCTTGGAATGGTACAAAGTTTAACACTGTTACTACGAAGCTGACAATCCTCATGACATGATGCTAACATGTTGTTTGTTGTGTCCAATGTTAGTTAAACTGACCTTTGAGTCTCATCATTGTATACAAAGGGACACTTACCTTTAGTGGATTACTAAAGCTTTCATATTCTTGAATGAACTTGGTCAGCGTGTTGAGATGCTGCAGGAGAATGAAGTTGACTGGATTGGACGAGTATACTGAAAGTACACGGTCCAGCACCTTCATGCGATTGTCCTCGTACTTGGACTGCAAGAAATATTTCTCCATTATTAAGAATGCCGATTCATTCTTGGCGATATACAGTTGGTCTAGATGGTGTTGATGATGTCAGAGAGTTGGTGACCACATAGTGTGTCGTTTGTGCTGTATACATACTTGATATTTCTTTAAGGTTATGGCTTATGGATGTTTGATAGGGGACAGGGGAGCTCTCTGGAACAGTGATGTGGCCATAGCCGACATAGACCAGTGAGCAAATCGAATCGAGAACGGCGTCAAATAGTTTGGGCTTCTCCTTTGAAGACTCGAGGCGAAAGAGAGATGTCAACAGGAAGGAGTAACCGTCGATCTTTTGAAAGTCATCAAGAAGGATTGCCGACTTTTTGGCAGATTCGTGAAGGATCTTGATGATCATCTGACATATTGCAACGTATGTCTCTGTAGTGAACGCAAAGTAGTTGTTCAAATCCTTAATCAATTGTGACATGATTTTCTGTTGTTTGTTTGTTGGTAGGTAGGTAATATAGGTCAGTAAGAGTGTTGTTGGAGCATACATGATGATGATGATCGTTATCATACCTTGGAGTTGATATATGTTATGGTGGGTGGATGGAGGTCAGACAACTCACTGCCAAAGGCCACAACCTTTGAGCGGAGTGGACGATGTGTTGCTGGACACTCATGTGACATCAGTCCAAACATTATGGACAGTGTGTCGCTCTTTTGCAACTCCTCGATGGCACTCTTTTGTTTGGAAAGATTGCACAGGGTCGCAATGATCTTGTCCTCAACTAGTCCCTTGGTCGATTCGAGGGATGTGTACGGGACATTGAAAAGGTGCTGAAGGGATCGCACCAAGTTTGACGGTACATTGGCTTCGGCCATGGCCTCACACGCCAACTGTGTCTCTGATAACAATTGAAGCGTGTAGAGAATCTCAAAGCCGTAGTTGCTGGTAGGACCGCACTGTGAAAAGTATTTGAACTCCTCTCTGGACAACATCTCCTTAGATTGAGAAGCAGCTTGCATCTTTGGGAGCTCCTGCAAATCCTTGACGAGTCGACGTGAAACAGCAAATGAGAAGGCTTTGGAGTTGTTGCCAAACACATCGGCCATGCTCCTGACATCGAGACTGCGATCCTCCACGAGAGAGATAAAGTGCGGCAACACCTTGTTCAGTCTGCTGACCTTGTCCTTGTCAGACTTGCTTGAGAGAAAGTCCTGCCACAGAGCCTTTAGCTTGGCAGGTGATGTCATCGATGCTTTGATCGACGGGATCTCGGCCGCTGTCATGACAGTCCATACGTCGATCGTCGTTGAGGGCAAATGGACGTCATTTGTTGTTGTTGTTGTTGCTGTTGTTGTTGTTGCTGTTGTTGTTGAGGATGATGATATTGAAGGTGATGATAACATTGCTGTTGTTGATTGATAGGAGTTGACACGAGTTGGAGGTGAGATTGGTTGCGGTTGAGGAGACTGTGGCGAGAAGTGGACACTAGTTGGATGTGTGTCGTTGTGTAACATTGAAGGATTGCTATGAGAGGGAGATTGCTGTTGTTGTTGTTGTTGTTGTTGTTGATCACCAAACACAGCAGTCGGGAGATCCTTCATAAGATCCTTCATCTTTCTAAACATCGCCATCCTTTTAAATTTCTCTATCAATTGTTCGATGGATAAAGATTATAGATAGATAGAGAGATGGATAGATAGATATAGATAGATAGATTAATTGATTGATTGATATTGAGAGAAGAGATAATAATAATGAGCGATTTTCACCAATACGTTCGTGATCATCAGATAAGGTCATATGGGGGTATGAACATTACAAAAAAAAAATAGTGACCCAGGGTATGAGTGAGTAATAGTGCAGCAACAGAAGTTTGGTGTAGTTGTTGGATGGTCAAGTAACATTTATATTATTTATATTTAATTAATAGGAGAATGAACTTTATTCATTTAACTCTAAGTGCGATATCCATATGATGTGATTGTCAGTGGTTTTCCTTTCTCTGGGTTTGTTCCAGAAATGTAAGTAGTCTCTAAAGATTGGTTGTTATCTGGTCTTGGCTTGGAGAAAAAGGACTTCGATTCGAGTCGTCATCCGTGTTTATGATTAATATTTATTCAAAGTCGAAGTTCAATAATAGTGTTATTTGAATCAACCCACGATAAAATTATTTGAATTCTTGTCGCAGTGTTGTTTGTCAACAAATACACACTCACCACACACTCAATCGATAGATAGAAGACGTATCAGGTAATGAACCCCACCAACGTATTCTCTCCCCTCCCAATATATTGTTGTTGATTAAACTTGGGTAATAGAGTGTCACCTCATTCCTTCTTTCTTTCTCTCTTTCTTTCTTTGTTGTTGTTGTTGTTCACGCCTGCCCATTCCTACGACTACTCCTATTCTCATCAAACACACTATCAATCATCAATCAATCAATCAATCAATCAATCAATCAATCAATCAATCAATCAACCAACGTATAGATAGATAATATTTACGCATTCCATCCATCCATCCATTCATCCTAGCAATCAATCAACCAACAAACCAACCATAGTAACTCCACCAACAGACACTGTTTAAATCCTACACCAATACTAGAGATTATTGCTAGACAACGAATCCTAAAGAATATACATATATATAAAGAATAAGTTGGACATCCAATCATGCAAGGAACCAGTAGTAAGTTGTCAACTCAATTATAATTTCCTAAGCATTCTACTGACGCATGATATGTTAGTCCTTCCTTCTTTGTCTCAACAACAGCAGATGCAGCAACAACAACAGCAACAACAACAACAGCAGCAGCAATATTACATGAATCAGTCATTCTCCCAACAGGTTAGCTACTTTAGTTCAGCTCAGCAATTTGGGAGTAATACTGCCAACAACAACAACAACAACAACAATGGCTTCCCAACAGCTCTACAACAACCTCTTACACCACTTCCTTCGAACTCCTATGCTCCGCTGATGAACCCCACTCCACAGCCCATGAAACCACAACGTCCCCAATATCAAATGGTGCCTCAAGTTCAGCATATGCCCATTCAGCAGATGCCACCAATGTCAATGCAGCCGATGCAACCTATAATGCCAATCAACAACAACAATAACAGCAGCCTTGTGAATAGTGGAGGAAAGGGCGGCTCTGCTCAGAATCTCATCGGAGGTAATGGCAACAACAGATGGTTTCCAACATACAATGACAACGACCCATTCCACGAGGACAAGAAGAAGTACCAATATCAGTCTGCCAACTGGAGCGACGAAAACAAGTATGCAGAGATACGCAACTCCATACAAACCCCCGTATTGAATATGGGAGGGCAACAACAACAACAACAACAACAACAACAACAACAACAGATACAACAACAGCACATGGTACAGCCTTTCTTCAACCAAGGAGGAGTTGGAATGGTTGGAGATATTGGCCAACAAATGACCGTGATGAACCAAATGATGCCACAACAACAAATCCTCGGTCATCAACAACAACAACCATCAATGAATATGATGAACAACATGATGGCACCAATGAATCCACAGATGATCAATCCACAACCAATCCACAATATGAATATCGGCATGAATCCAATGGTCATGCCCAACATTATGGCACCAGTCACTCAGGTCACCCAGATGAGCAGCAGCAGTAGCCATCATCAATCAACTCAGATAACCTCTTCGGCAGCGCCACCAGGCATGGTTCAACCACTACCCGCCCGTATTCCAAACTCAATACCCCATACCAATCTTGTATTCAATAGCGAGCCTCTGGCCAATGGATCACCCTCATCTTCATTGCTCCTACAACAGAAGCTGCCACCAGTCAGTGGCTCAACTCAATCCCCCACCTCCTCGGGCAGTCATACTGGCCTTACCAACAGCCTTCCCTCAAAGGCAACCTCCAACAATTTGCCATCGGGCACAGGAAGCATGGGTTCAAAGTCTGAGCTGATCATTCCACCAATTCCACAACACTTGCAAAATGGAAACTCCTTTGCCAACCCAAACAAACATGGAACAAACGTGATACTCAACTCTCTGATTATGGGTCCACCTGCTTCTTCGACAACTCCATACACAATGCAGCAGAACACATCCTTTACATCATCCAGTGTCCAACAGCAGTCCAGCAGCACCACCCAACATCAACCCAACCAAATGTTTGCATTTGAGCAATTGACTTTCCCTCAGCAAATACCAACTATTGATCAAGTCCAGCCCTTGCAGTCCAAACCAACATTTAATTCATACGATGATGTCAAGAAGAATATCGATAGATACCAGGCAATTGAGCAACTCCAACAGGCAACCAACATTGGCAGCGATTCATCCGAACCATTCTCTGAGGAAGAGTACAAGAAAAAGGTTGAGGAGAGGATCAGGAAAGAAGTAGAGGAGAAGCTACGCAAAGAGTATGAAGAAAGAACAGCAGCAGAGAAGAAGGCAAGAGCAACCAATCCATCCCTCTTGACCCCAAGCCACACAACTACCACATCGAACAACATGAGCTCAGCCAGTAGTACGACAACAACAACGTCACCATTGGCCGATAGCGCCTTCCCCCAAGATTTGTTCTCAGACATGATAACAACCTCATCGACATCCACCTCTTCTTCCTCCTCCTCTACATCAACCTCCACAACAACAACAATGAATCATCAAGGCAACAGCATGTCACCAAAGCTCCGTCCACCTGCAACCAACAACTTTGAGAAGGACCGTATCAAGAAGGAGTTGGAGGCCATTCACAAGGAGGCGCCAAAAAAGGCTGCCGCCGCTGCTGCCCAAAAAGCAAGGTCAATGTCCCCACCAACGACGACAACGACATCAACAACGCTCACCGACTTTGCCTGTCCCATATGCCAACAAAAGTTCCCCAACGAAAGGGTTCTTGGCATACACGTTGACGATTGGCATTCCAGCTCCTCGGTGTTGCTTGGAAAGGACGAGCCAACCAAGTCCCAGTCGGTACTTTCTTTTGATGAACCAAAGGCAAAGATTGACACAAAGCCAAGAGCCAAGTCGGTTTCAACCTCCACTCCTGTGACCAAAGACAGGAAATCAAGATCATTTGACTCGGACGAACGAAGGAGAGCAGGAATCAAGACCACAACTACTACTACGACCACCACGAGCTCCTCTTCATTGACTTCCTCGACATCATCAACCGCCACACTCAAGAACAAGGCCAAGCTGGCGGCAGACCTAGCAGACCTATCATTTGAGTCGGTCATTGTCAAACCTCGCCGTGTGCTCACAAAGGAGGAGGCTGCTGTCATTTTGCAGTCCAACTTCCGTCGATGGAAAGCCAGAAAGGAGTACAAACGAGAGCAACTACGTACAAAGGCCGTCCGTGAACTGATCACCACCGAGTGCACCTACGTGGAAGGTTTGGATAAGATCATCGAGAACTTTGCCTTCCCCCTTCGTGGCCTATGCAAGGCAGACGCTGCTCTCATATCTGCAGAGGAAGTTGATCTCCTCTTTGGCAAGCACGAGATCATCTACAACATCAACAGAGACATGTATAAACGACTGAGCGACAGAGTTAGGAACTGGAACACCTCAATGAAGATTGGCGATATTTTAGTTGAGTTTGTAAGTACCGCCACAGTGGCAATATTTAAAGTTGTTGCCCTAACATTGTATGACACTCACTCCAACAACACCAGGTTACAAAGAACCAGTTCAAAGCGATATATAACAACTTCACATTGTCTTACAACAACATTTTGACATCTATTGAAAGGCATAACAACACAAAGAGCTCTTTCAAGGCATTTATAAAGGTATGTAGTAGTACACATAACAGATATTATCCATTCCACCTAACACATCCCCCAATCACACCATCGATAACTTAGAACTCTGAGAAGTCACTTTGGGTGAATGGRAAGCTCAACGGGTACGAACCTGCAAGCTCTCTTGATAACTCCAGTGCAACGTATCATGAGATATTCACTGTTGTTAAAGGAGATCATCAAGAATACCAAACCATCTCATCCAGACTATGACAACCTGTGTATCTCTTTGTTTGAGGTACAAGACATCTGCACCGACGTCAATGAGAACCAGCGCAGAGAGGAGAACGAGAAGATCAGGGTGCAGACACTCACCAACATTTCAAACCGAATCGAGTCCAAACCCAAGGACTTCCAGCTGCACTCGGATACCAGGTGTCTTGTGCGCGAGGGACACATCTCACAGTACTCACAGGACCAAGAAAAGGTCAAGGAGAGGATCTACTACCTTTTCAACGATATGTTGCTCATCACCAAAGAGAGCAGCAAGAAGAAGCTTCAGCTCAAGAGTACCATCCCACTGGGTAATTCGCGAATCAGGAACATCGCAGACGGACAGAGTAAGTCAGAATCATGGATGGATGGATGGATGTTTATTTAAGGCGTTGGAGACTAACCACCAATTTCAACCACATTGATTAGAATGCTATGGAACAGTGTCAAAGTATTCGTTTGAGTTATGTGGACATGGAGATCAGATCATGATGTTCTTTTGTGATACACCAGAGCACAAAGAATCGCTGCTGAAGGAACTAGAGATAGTTATACACGGTATCAAACAATAGTACCAACCCCTTATTTATAAACATATATATACAAGATGTAATTATTATTTAATTGGTTGTTAAGATGGCTTTTTCTGGATAATTTAGTAAATATATTATATTTAATTGTTCCTCGGAGTTGGACATGTTTATGAGGTCAGACTAATCGGAGAGACTTGCATCCATACAGGTTCTCACACGTTTAGAAAGCTTGGTCATGTTGTCAGCAATGATACCATCTACACCCAACTCTGTCTGTACCTTGACATTTACTGGATCAACACTAATGAACGTGAAGTGATTCGAATGTGTTAGTGAACAATGCCTATCTTAAAGCTTTAAGAATGAATGAATGTATGTACATACTTTCTACTACCATATGTGAATAGTAGAAGATTCTCAGAGTGGACTGCCTTGACAAAGGAATGGTTCTGGAGAATTGACTCAGAGTCACAGACGATTCCATCGAGGTTGACCATCTTGACGAATGCAATTGCATTCATTATTGAGTTTCCTCTAGTGTCGTGGACGTTGACATCTGGATCAAAGACGTTATAGAAGTTTGGAGTTTCGCAGCATACCAGGAACAACACAGGGTACCTAAACTGTTTGGCTCTGAGAAGAATGGCAATGTCTGGATCAAATGTCAAGAATGCTACTCTCCTGTTCTGTGCCTCATTAAATACAATCTGTTGTTGAAAGGGTTGTTAGTGACCTGTTGGGGGCTTCTTTGATTGAGAGATCTCTTGTGAATACAAACATTAAGTATAATGTCGACGAACTTGTTACGCTCGGGTGCGGTAAAGTTACGTAGGTTTTGCATTGCAAGGTTGGGATATTTGATCTCGACCAAGAATCCTACATCCTGAGGTACTAAAGCAAATGCATCTTGGAAGGTGCTATATCCACCGTGGATGACATCAGGGTGCGGAAGGTGAGTGTCAATCTCCTCCCTGGTCACCTGATGCAGATCACCAGTGCTCCTGGACAATCGATGGTGCTTGATCTTGCTCATGGCGTGTGTGATTTGATCAGGTGCCTTCTTTAAAGGGCGCAACTTTAGGAGCTGGTCCAAAGTCAATCGGTTTATGGTCTCGTGCATCTTTACACCTTCCTTTGTCTCCACCTCGATCTCGTAGTCGTGGAAGATGACGGGTATATTGTCGTAGGTGAGTTGTAGGTCAAACTCGATCATCTTGGCGCCGAATCGATAGGCAGTCAAGAAACTGAGGATGGTATTCTCGGCTGGCAGGTGGACAGACAGGCATGTTAGCATATTTGACACAAGTGAGTCAGTGTACCAGCAGACCAAAATGACTAAAGCATAGATACTCACTAACAGCACTGGTGTTGATACCAAAGTTGTTCTTGCCATTGCCTCTGTGTCCAATTAGTGTTTTAGGTTGATGCTCGACAAAGGCATGCCAGAGGGAGCTCAATGAGTTCATTGAGTGTGTGAATGGTGTCACCACCATAAAGTTGAACCTGAACTCGCCAATCGGTCCCTTTTCATCTGATCATTAACTATAGGTTAACAACTGGATGTTTGTGACTGTCTGCCACACTCTATACATACTTAGAATTGGTGAATGTAACTTGGCCCACTTGCTTTGCAATTGATTGGACACAATGAACACTTTGCCAAGCAGGTCCTTATGATCATTGCTGGTGGGACATTGTCTCAGGATACTGGCAGAGAAGCCCAGCTGCTCCATTGATGGGGCATGCAGAACAAGCTCAGTGTATCTCATCAGTGGTAGTTGGAAATCTGTCGATAATCCATATGGCTGTCGTTACCAAGGAAGGGAAGTGTTAGAGTTATAAATCATCACTAATACATGTCAACATACATCATGAATCCTTAGAACCAGGTTTGAGTTTTCCAGTGCCTTGTCGTATAGAATAACTGGTGATTGGTCCACTTGGAGCATAACACGTAGTTGGGTTTCATTCTCGGCCAGCCAACCACGACCGATCCAGGGCTGTGATGCAGAGTCAAGCATGCCAAACAGGCCATCGTTTACAAACATCTCCTTGCCCTCCACTTGGATCGAACGTACGCCCTTGGTGGCCTCCCACTCCTGAAGCAAAGGTGGCACTCTGGCCTTGTTTAGTACGATGTACTTGTAGTGGATCTTCTCTGACGAATGGAACACGATACAAGTGGTCCATATGAGATGTGTATCACTATAGTGGTAATATATTCAGTTAGCCACCTCTCTGTGAGTGTGTTAGGCAACATGATACATACGTCCTCTCTACGTTATCCAATTGGATTGATCCAGAAGCGGACCAATTACCAACCTCTGGTACATCACCTATGATCGCCACCACTTGGTTTGGAGATGCCATCTGGTCCACTGGCGTCTCTACCTTGAAGGTGACTCTGGTGAACAGACCAGTGTCCGGACTCATTATTGAATTGATACTATCAGGTTGGTTAGGGTGTGTGCCATCAGGTCTCTGGGGTGCGGCAGTTGTCGAACTGTTCAGGTGATTGTTGTTGTTGCTGCTGGAGTGGTGCTGTTGTAGTTGTTGATGCTGTTGCTGTTGCTGCTGCTGCTGCTGTTGTAGTTGTTGATGATGCTGGCAACTTTGATCGGGACAGTTGTCCTGAGTAGATGGCCTATCATTGTATGACGAGGTTGTCATTTATTGTATATATTTATATACAGATATAACTCTTCTTCTAATTGTTGTTGTTGTTGTTGTTGTTGTTGTTGTTGTTGGGTTAGATCATTAGAATCACTATTCCACCCAACGAATTCATCATGTGACTACACTAGTGTAGTCTGGCTTGGTGGTGAGGGGTTGGGGGGTGGACTTGAGTGCGGTAGGTGAGGGGTTTCCATTATTGGTGTGTTTGGGGGTTGGTCCAACCAATAAAAGACGACAGGTCATAAAAACGAAGGACCCTCAAAATAAATATATTCACATTTGAATATAGAGATAGACAAGTCAACCTTATAATGGACATAAAAATTACATACCTTATTTTGTAGGAGAATTACCTATATGTTTAATAATATTTGTTGGAAAAGATAATAATAAAAACATATCTATCGTCTCGAGTCAAATCGTAAGAGTGAAAACGGTGAAAACGAGGGAATAGACCTCGCGGGTCCATCTATTGCCAACAACACCCACCACCACTTTGAGTTTATTATTATTATTGGTTGGCGTGATTGGTGACTGCTTGTGGATTTGCCTTCTCAAGTAGGATCTTGATGCCGTCTGCATACTGGAACTCCTCTGTGTTGTTAAAATACTCTGTGACGTCCAGTGCGATCAGACAGCTCTCACTGACGATGGGCTCTGGATCCTTGATGAATTGCTCGAGTAGAGGAACGGTCTCAGTGCTGGCGATCGCCCCCAGTGCCTCGGCTGCCTCATGACGCACCATGGCAGACTCTCTTGCATCAGCGAGCACTGCAGTGAGAGCTGGCAGGGCAGCACGATGTTGCAGCTGACCCAAAACAAATGCCACCTCGTGCTTTAGCAAAGCACTGGCATCCTTGAAGGCTTCGCACAGTGCCAGAACGGAGGCCTCATCTCCTCTGTCTCTCAATGAGAACAACGCTCTATATCTGTTGAATATGTCCAGCTCGCCGTTCAAAAAGTCATTCTTTACAGTTTCAAATGGTACAGAGGTTGGAAGAGATGGTGCTGGATCCACAGAGAGATATGCCTTGTTCTCAAATGACGCTGGTCTATAATTAGTAGTAGTTGTGGATAAACAACAATATATATATATGGGTCAATCGATTACTGAAGTTAATGTTGTGCGCAACAAACATTCATCATCCAGACTTACTCATTGACAGCGTACCACTCTACACGTGATAATGCCAGTTGACATGTCTCTGCCACTTCACGTGTACCATCTTGTGAATATTTCTTGAGAGTTTCAAGAGCCACTGTGTCACCGATGGCACCAAGGGCCTCAGCGGCCTCATGTCTAACCATTGGGTGTTCAGCCAGGTTCTTTACAATCTCCACCAATACATCGATAGCACGACGATCAGTCATCTGGCCGAGACAATATGCAATCTCGTGACGTAACAGTGCAGATTCGTCGTTGAGTGCCGATGACATAGCCTCTATGGACATCTCACCGCCTAGATTTCTCAAAGTGAACAATGACCTGAATCTCTTTGCGATTGGCTGTGTGACGTCTAGCAGTGATGACTTTAGCTGTGCTACCATCTCTGGAGTAACTTTGACTGGCTGTGCACCACCTGTCAGTGACATGGTGGTATGGTTTGTTGTGTCATTGCAATCATCCATTATTTATATATAAATATTGTTTTATGTAGTGATATTGTAATGATGATTTTAGATTGTTTTCAACAGTTGTTTCGTTCGTTTTCTTCAGATTTAGTCTTTACCGATTGGATGGACCCTGGTACTGATTTTCGTTCCTAAAGATGATGTAACAAAGTTCTATGAACTGTAGATTGATTACAACTAATATGATCAATTATCTAAATGGTTGAGTATAATGATTGTTTTAGGAAGTTCAGTAATGATCATTTAAATTTTATTTATCCGTTGAGGGTGTGAAGAAACAACTTGCATTCACGTCTCACGAAGCTTAAATAAATTATCACATTTATAACAACAACAACAACAACAACAACAACGACAGGATGTATTCAGGCGGAGATGATGTATCATCAATAGTACTCGATGTTGGAACATCCACAGTGAAGGGTGGTTACGCAGGAGAGGATTCACCAAAGGCCATCTTCCCAACTGATATAGGTGTCGTCTTTACTGCAGGCACAGACGAGAGCACCGTAGGAGTCAATCAGCAGGCTATCGGTGAGAGTGAGGAGCCCGACCCTGCTGCCAAGCGCACATACTATGTTGGTACCAATGCCGTCACCTATAAACGACCACATATGCACATTCAAAGCCCTTTGCAAGATGGACTGAGTATGTGTTGCAGTTGCCGGCAGTAGAGTACTTCATACGATATAGCAATCAAACTAATATAAATACTACAATCACTACTCTTGTTCACACCAGTTAAAGATTGGGATGCAATGGAGCACATATGGAATCATGCATTCCGTTACAGACTAAACACCAATCCCAATGAACATCCGATTCTGCTAGCAGAGCCATCGTTCAATACAAAGCAGATCAGAGAGAAGATGTCAGAGATTATGTTTGAGAAGTATCACACGCCTGCACTGTTCCTTTCAAAGAACGCTGTGCTCACTGCCTTTGCCAGTTGCAAGGCGTCGGCACTGGTGATGGACTCGGGTGGTGGCATGACCTCGGTGGTGCCCGTGCACGACGGCTACGTGATAAAGAACGCCATTACCAAGTCTAATCTGGCTGGCAACAGGCTGACCGATGAGTACTACAGAATACTGAGCCAGAAGAACATCCGAATCAACCCTCACAACCTTATCAAAAAGGTCGAGGTCAAGCAGGGAGAGTACAGTGTCACCAATATCGATATCCCAGACCTGACAGAGTCCTACAAGAAGTACGTCTCTATGGAGATTGTACGTGATCTCAAGGAGACCTCATTCCGTGTGTCCAATGGACAAGTTGGAGAAGAGTAAGTTTGATCACAAACAACAATCATTCACCAAATCAATCACTTGCTCACTGTCCTCTCACTTAGCTTGCACATTGCTACAGTACCTTATGAATTACCTGATGGTAACCTCTTGGAAGTTGGATCAGACAGATTCCAAGTACCAGAGAATATGTTCAATCCGACACCATTGAATGTAACTATATATATTGACAATAACAACAACAACATCAAGACAATGCTAACATACACAATCATCATCATACATACTCTAATAGGAACAACAGGAAGGATCAAACCATCGTTATGTACCTCTGCCAAAGATGATCTATGAGAGTGTGGAGAAGTGTGATACAGACATCAGAAGAGAGTTGATTGCCAACTTGATTATATCTGGAGGTAATTCACTGTTCCAAGGATTCTCGGACAGACTGTACATGGAGCTTGGTGATCTATCAGCCTCATTTGGAAAGGTCAAGTTTGTGGTGCCCAATGTCAACGAGAGGAAGTATGGCGTATGGATCGGTGGATCGATTCTTGGCTCGCTTGGAACCTTCCAACAGATGTGGATGAGCAAGTCAGAGTGGGAGGAGTACGGAAGACCTCTTGTCGAGAAGAAATGTCCATAATAGGTGTCGCTCTTATCATTCTCAAAAAGGATTGGGCCGCACCCCAGGCAATAAACCAAGATGGCACTTGTCGATCTCGATCTAAACAGGGATGCGCTGCCAAGATCACCACATCGAATTCGGTTGGCCACCACAACCTATTTTTCACGAGAAAAGATGGGTCTTGAGGGATTGACCATAATTAATTGGGAAGTTTAGTTGGAATGATCATCAAACAACGTGTTTGTTCTCAATGTCATCGTCATGATCATTCTACAACAGTACTCATAGTCCTCTACAACTAATAGTATAAGCATTATTATTATTATTCATATCTTACAACAACTAGCTATGTCTTCAAATATATGGTCCGTTGGCAACACTGTTGGCAGTGGTAGTCAAACCGACACTACAGTTCCACATTTGGCAGAGTTGTTTGATTCATCTACACTACCTGGCGGTGTCATTTCCATAGCATGCGCCGCACAAGTCACCTACCTCGTAGGCTCTAATGGAATAGTTCACTCATTGGGCTCTGGATACATTGGCAACAACAAGAAATCATCCTACTCAACGATCACTCCAATGCAGCCACTCCAGAGCGCCAAGGCCAAATCGGTCGTTGCCAACACTCATCAAAACAAGAACTTTGTCTTTGTCCTGATGGAGGACGGTAGTCTGTTCACACTGGGCAACTCTGCTGACTTTAGAACAGGCCTGGGAACAGAGATCGATGTTCTCACGCCACGCTTTGTCGATGGTTTTGACTCCCCAGTGCACCAGATTGTTGCTGGTGTCACACACGCAGTTGCCGTCACTGCCAAGGGAAGCATATACATGTGGGGCCGTCCCTTTGGTTACCATGCCGATGTGATGCCAACGCCCACACGCCAACATAGTTACGAAACATTCTTTTCAGAGAATGGCGAGAAGCTCCAACAGATATGTGCCGGTGAGTCCTTCACCCTATTCCTTACGACAAGTGGCAACGTCTATGGCCTGGGCGAACAAGACACCCACTGTCTGGGGCCAGTTCCAGAGGAGCCCCAAGCTATCAAAGGATGTCCTTTGCTTTTGCCATTCGAGCAAAATGGTACTATCGTACAGATGGCATGTGGCAACAATCACGTTGTCTGTTTGACAAAGTCAGGTCGAGTGATAGTGTGGGGCATGAACAAGAATGGAGCACTTGGAATAAGTGATGGTTCATACGATCGTGTGCAATCCAAACCAATTGAATTGCCCTCACTTCCAAAGTGTTCCTATGTTCACTCTTCCTTCTACTCTTCATTTGCCATTGCAGAGAATGGTGTAGTTTACGGATGGGGATTCAATGGTAGGTTACTCTCTTAGCATCAATCTAATACGTTTACAGTACTAACAAGTAATCGTATCACACAGTGAATGGTAATCTTGGAACTAAACACACCAGGAACTTGGAGTCACCTGAACCTGTCTTGGCACTCCCACCCAACGATGCCTATCAAGGTCAAACGACTCATCACATTGCATCTGGAGAATATTATTCGATCTTTATCACGTCCGCTTCAAAGAACCTAATACCTGTTTTAGGACAGATCACCTTGGCCTCTGCTACTGACCAGAGCAACTTGCCATACCCTGATTTGCCAGAGTGGATGGATGGTGAGGGTTATGACGAGCCCAAGGTGTTGAGTACTGGATCAATATATGGTACTGGTAGTGAGGTGGATCACTCGATGGTAATCTTCAGACCCACCAAGAACCTTGAAGGCAAAGGCAAGCCAGTCAGTGTGGCAGTTGGCAACAAGTGCTCCTACGTCGCCATGGAAACAGGTGAGCTCTATGTTTGGGGTACCGGTTACGCACTGGGACAAGGTACAGAGGGAGTATGCAAAGACCCCACCAAGGTTTGGGATCTTGAAGCCGTCAAGATCGTCCAATGCTATGCATCAGTGGACGATGTGGCCTTTGCAATCACCGAGAAAGGTTCAGTTTATGGATGGGGTCGATGTGCCAAGTATCTTCACGGCACTGGACAGGATTACGATGCCATCCATCCTAGAATGCTAGAGGGATTCAAAGCACCAATTAAGAAACTGTCGATCAGTTCAACGCATGTCATGGCACTGGATCGACATGGTGCTGTGTTCCTTTGGGGCACTGGCAAGGCACTTGGTAACAGGAATAGGTCATCCATCGAGAAGGACCCCAAGAAGCTGCAGGACCAGACATTCTTTGCAATCGACATTGCCGCCGGAGAGAATGTCTCATTCATGCTGAACGATGCTGGCCAAATACTCAGCTGGGGTGAAGGTCTTCAAGGGCAACTAGGACATGGCAGCAACAAGTTTGCCAGTTTGCCCACTGCAATCAAGGAGATTCCCGAACGATTCATCTCCATCGCGGCGGGTCCAGACTTTTGTGGCGCTGTATCATCTGGAGGCAATCTCTACATGTGGGGCAACAAGGAGTCTGGTCTGCTTGACTTTATGGACCCATGTCACGACCATAAGGCACGATTCTACGACCGTCCTCAAAAGACACCCAAGTTCTCCTCGAGCAACTTGATCTCACTTCAACTGTCGCCCTTCAATTGTTTTGCCATCAACGACAAGGGTGGTCTCTATGGTTGGGGCGAACCACACATTGGTATAGGTACTGGAATGACCATCAAGTACCCCTCTAGGATTGAGAGCACCCAACACTCTTCCGTTCACTACATTCAAGCCTCTGACTGGCAATGCCTTGCATTGGCGAAACCAAAGTCATCTTTGCCACCCAGTCTCGAGTCACCTCTCAAAGAGACTGCAACAATGATCTCTGCACCAACATCACCGGTTGGCGTGGGCTCTAGCCTCAATCTGAGCAAGGTCCGTTCAGATTCAGCAAATACATCGTCGTCAGTGGCACTGGGCGACTCTGTGGATGACATCCTGCAACACGAAGACTTTCTAAAGACACTCACGGATGAGGTCAAGTTCTGGGGACACGTGGATCGTGAGATTGACATCGCCACCTGGTGTGGAAGGTTGCCAGAGATCAAGGAGTTCCTGAATAGATCAGAGTCCTATCACTACCCACCAGCCATTGTCCAGTCGATAGTGCACGCTCAAAAGGTGATACCAGCTGGAGAGAAGGTGATCAAGGCGTGGATCATGTACAGCATCAACTTTAAGGACTACGAGAGCGATCGCATCATTGTCATCACCAATGAGGCCATTCATCGCATCAAGTACAATTGGACCACCCTCTCTGTTGTACACAACAAGACCTTCCAACTTAAGAATGTGTACAAGGTTAAGATAGGACGATTTGCCAACTGGAACCGCACCATCACTTCATCACTACGCAGCAAGGTCTATGAGAAGCAGGTTGGAATTCAAATATGGTTCCAGAACCCCTCAACATGGAAACCTCCATCATTTTTGCAACCATTTGCCAAGGTCAAGGCACCCTACATTACCCTACGTCCGGCGGTCAACATCAACTCTAGTTCAGCAGATGACCAGGATGTGATTTGCCACGAGATGGGAACGGCTCTGCAATGTGCTATCCACTCACTTCGCAACAATGGCAAGCCCTTCACATTGTTGCACAAGTTCTCCCGAGAGAGTCCTTCCAAGAACAATGATCATCCACCGTTCCCTGTACGCAAAGTCGATAGCCTTCAGCGATATTCTGGTAATGGTGCTCTGGCTTTTGTTCACAACAAATTTATTGCCAAAACTGAGAAGGGTTTTGTTGAGCCAACTAATAAATAATATAAATTTTTAAATAAAAAATGTCAAAAAATCATTATGGTTAGTTTATAATAACAGTTATTGTACTTTTCTAGAAAAAATCTCGAACTTCGGAATCATCTCAAAAGTAAAATACCATTTTTTAACAGACATTGTCAGGATGGTGTAGTCGGTTATCACATGACCTTCACACGGTTAGGGTCACGGGTTCGATTCCCGTTCTTGATACACTTTTTGGCAGCACAAACAAGAAATTATACAAAATTCTGCGATCCCCTATCCTACCAACTAACTCCCTCAGTGTCTTCCACGGCCTCAAGCTCCCAGACATCTTCAAGGTCATCAGCACCCTGAGAGGACCATCCTCACGTAACGCCCTCTTCAGGTTCTTCTCCCATACCCTCCCAATCAACCATATGAGAGCAGACGCTGACTGTACCCTCTGTGGCAACTCCTGCACAGACCAACCCTACAATCACTTCTTCTTTGACTGCAGCAAAGTGGCAACCCAAGAAGCCATGCGCCCAGCCTTAGACTTGGTGAAGCAAAGCTCTGGTATCAATGTCAGAGAATGGAACATTAAAGCACTGGACATCTCCACGAAGTCTCGTCGCCCCAACCTTCCATTCATCCACCTCATGGCAATCATCGTCAACTACCTCTGGCACTACATCGCCAACCACCTCTTTGGCAACAAGGAAGCCCTGTTGGCCAAGCTCAGCTTGGTGTGCATCACATCCTTCAAGTCCCTCCTCCGCCAGGAGTGGCGCTCCCTCATGTCCACGCTCACGAGTCACATCCTGGCCGGACGACCAGTCAACATCAAGAATGAGATGGCCAAGTTCACTACGACATCCGTCTTCCGCCTCTGCCGCCAACTATCAACAAATACTTGGTGGCCGAATTCAGAGGCCTACAGTAGAAAAGAAAAGAAAGAAAAAAATCAAGAAAATTCAAAATCGACTAACTTATATATATTATCCCGCTTCTTCAATGACGCCAATTTATTTGCAATAATAATAAACTTCCACTCTAGTCAAAAAAAAAATAAAAAAAAAAATCGTGTACAAGGCCAATGGTGTTGAGAATCCTCTTGAGGCAGAAGAGACTATCCCCATCCTTTTGGATTTGGAGTTCTGCCATTATCAATGCATTTCCAAGGCATGTACTCAGACACAGGATCAATTAGAATTCTAAAATGAAAAATCTTTAACATAATGTTAATTTTTATAAATGTCTATTCTTACTGACGTACAAATATGTTGTCCTTATCACAACCTTCCCTGCAAGGTTATGCTTCCACAGGTAGGAGTGTACGCAGGTCGTGTCTACATACTATGTCCAGTGATTGGGTGCATCTTTTCAAAGTGGCAGGATCAGAGCATGACTCTCGAATCAATCAATGTCCACCAAGGTTCTAGTATTATACCTTCTGAGCTATCAACACAACAACAGCAACAACAACAACAACAACAACAACAACAACAACA